AGATCACTTGTCTCTTAGATCAAATACATTCCTTGGATTCTCTTATTGCTTAAACACATGATACAATAAATAGTGATTAACAACAATCTTTGCCCTTCATTAAACATATACAAGTTTAATACAATAAGTATTCCAAAAGCTATTACATCAAATGAGTGGCTTTGTGGGCATACTTCCAACAGCCTCGCGTGAATGCTTTTTGTTAAAAGCAGTCATAGAACATATTCGAAGCACTAGTCATCTTACTATTGTCGTTGAAGATAATGCCGCATGTATAAGCAATTGAAGAAGGGATACATCAAGGGAGACAACACCAAGCATATTGGGCTGAAGTTCTTTTATCCTCACCAACAACAATAACATCAGAACATCAGAGTCAAGCAAATCCGTTCACAAGACAACCTGGCCGATCTCTTCACCAAGTCATTGTTGAAGTCTACTTTTTAGAAGCTCGTCCAAGGAATCAGTATGTGTAAAATTTCTAAGTTAAATAGCTTGTAGTTCTCTTATTTGGAAGTGATGTCTAACTCAGGGGGAGTATCCTAGAGTATACTAACTTGATCTTAATGTACTTTTTTACCTATGATTATGAGCATTTTCCCACTGGGTTTTTGCGACCTAACGAGGTTTTGATGAGGCACCTATCATGGGACAATCATACTCCATTAAGGTTCATTACTTTTGTCCTGTATGACTTTTGTTTTAAAAATTATGCATACTTCTCACTTTTCTCCTTAGTCTATGGGTTTTGTACCTATCTTAGGTTTTACCATAATGAGGTTTTGTGAGTTTTACTACCAATGCATACTTTCTTCAATTTGAGACTCGCATTTGCCCGTTGTGTCAATTGACCTACTTCATCTGCTGAAGACCTGATGCGATGTTTTGTTTGAGTACTTACACACTCAAGGGGGAGTGTTGCAATCATATTAGAGTAGGAATGTGCTTGTGTAAATCTTATCATATCTAGGATATCCCCTTTGGGATTCTACCATATCTCTTAGATTAGATATTATCCTATTAGAGTTGAAATCCTATTGCGGTAAGGAATTTACCTTCTCTACTACTAAAAATAAAGGCAGAATGAGGTGACATAGCACACATCTCATAAATACACATCTCTCTCTTCTCTCTGTGCCAATGGCCCCCTCTCTCCCTATCATTTATATTGTTCAGTAAATTAGGCCTACAACAATAGTATTATATATAAATTATATTATATTTTATATTATTATTATTCAATTTGGATTCGAGGATGGATATGGATTTAGGACCCCTATACCATATCCAAACCATAACTGAATAAAGTTCACGGTTTTTCCCCACATCCATAATATACCCGAATTTTAATACCCAAATCCGCTCAATTCAGGTGGTTATTTATTGTTATCAATTTAGCGGTTTGAGTTGCCATCCCTAACTCGAACCCATGTCTCTTTTTGGAAACCAGTGTTCTAGTAATTATGGAATAGAAAAATAGAAAATAATGGCACCACTGCATATTTTTCTTATTACTGTTAAATATTAGGGTAATGCATAAAATTTTAAGGCTAAATTGGATGAATGGTTCCTGTTGTAAGAGGGTAATAAGAAGATAACCGCTGTGGTGAAAAAAAATTGGATTTAAACTCCCGTGGTGAAATGAAAATTAATGTTATAATTATAAACGATGGGAGGAGAAAATTGGCGATGAAAATCCAAAATACGTAGTGGTAGTCATTTACAGGGAAATGGAGTTCTTCTGTTGGATGCATCTATAGAGATTGAGGAAAGATGAAAAAGGGTTTCTTCTGTTAAATCCATCCATGGAGATTGAAGAAACATGATAATGAGGTTCTCTTTTGGATCAGAGATGGGTTTGGATTGTTTGGTGCCATTGATTTGATGGTAAGAATATTGCTACTTCGAATGCACTCTATATCTCAATGCGCACACAATTTTTCTTTCTTCTTTTTCTTTTTCTGATCAAAAGATTGAGGTTGGAGCTATTCAAATAGGATGAGGATCCCATCTGGGTCCAAATGGTAGGGATCCTCACATCTTAAACGTTCATCGTATATCGTACGGTCAGTTTTCATCAGGTACTATTTGTGTTTAATTTTAAATAATAAAATTCAAATGATTTCTGACCGCACGATAGACGATGAACGGCAAGGATGTGAGGATCCTTAGGATCCCCATCATTTGGATCCGGATGGGATCCTCATCCATTCAAATACAACGCAGGGAGAAAACGCATGAAAAATGGAGGTTGAACAAAATCAGCTTTGTAGTTTGAAAATTAGGTTAATTTCAATTTATTACCTGAAGCTTTTTGGTTTTCAATATTTGGTACATGAAGTTTTTTTTTTTGTCCCAGTTTGATACCTAATGTCATAATTCTAGGACACTTTTATATATCCATTAAGTTTTTTATCAGAACATCCATCAACTGATGAAGTGGTGCCCACGTAGACAATAACTGAAAGCCACGTGTCAATATAGGGTCCACGTGGATATTAAAAAATTTAAAATTTAAAACTTGAAAAAAAAAATTGTTTTTTGGATTTACCCGTCTCCTACCTCACAACCCCCTTCAACCCCTTCACTCCCTTCTGTCCTCTACAACCCGCACCCACCCTTCCTGCACACCCACCTCTCCTACCTCACTTTACCCCGCTTCCTCCCTTCTCTCCTCTGCGGCCACCCAAACTCTTTATACCAGACCCACCTCCACCCTCTTTGCCTCCCCTCCCTTTTCTCTCCTCCACCCTCATCACCTCCCCATTTGCATAAACCATAATCTCCATAATTTGAGGAGCAGCTCTAGTTAGCGAGCCACCTGAGGAGATATAAGAACCTAAGCACCGAAGCAGGGGAGCCACCACGTGCCAGTGCTGTTGCCGGTGTCCAATGAGGTGGCAGTAGGGGCTAGAAATGCAAAAGAATTAGTTAAGGTTTGTGTTTTATCCAAATTAGTGATTTGGGTAACCTGGGTTTTTGATAAATTTCAGAAATTGAAAGGGTTTTTTGTTGAATTTGAATTCTTTTGGGTGGGATTTTGTTGGGTTGGGTTAGGTGTGAGGGAAGGTTTGGTGTGGGTTGTAGAGGAGAGAAGGGAGGGAGGGGGTTAGGGCGTTGAGGTAGGAGAAGGGTGGGTGAAAAACAGTTTATTTATTTATTTTAAATTTAAAATTTTTTATATCCATGTGGACCCATATTGACATGTGATGTCCAGTTATTATCCATGTAGGCGCCACATCATCAATTAACAAAGGTTATGATGGAGAACTTAACGAATGTATGAAAGTGTCCTAGAATTATGACTTTAGGTACCAGACTGGGATGGAAAAACTTCATGTACCAAATGTTGAAAACCAAGAAACTTCATAGTAGTAAACTAAGATTAATCTTTGAAAATCCAATGAGATCTTTGGGGAAGGGTGAGATTGTTAATTTTGAGTTACCGAAAAGTTGACAGAAATGCTAATTTTAGCCTTGAATCTTAACGGAGTTTACCACGAGAGTTTAAATTCGAAATTTGTTTTACCACGGGACCTATCTTTTGATTACTATATTGTCACGGAAACCATTAATCCAATTTAGCCAATTTTTAAACTAAATCAAATGATGTGGTGTTAATGATTGTATTATTAGTATTACATTTTTGGATGAAAACTTGAACTTTGGGCTCAAGAAAGGAGCTGGCCCAAAGGGATGCCTAGGGAAGAGCCCTGCCTAAGCCCAGCCGAAGCCCAGAAAGTAGGAAAGGGCCTTTTCTGACTTGGTGCAGCTCATGAAGACCACTTGCTTACCTACCCAAAGGCCAAGTGGTATAGACTGACCAGCTACACAACCCATAAAGTACTTTATGGTGGCAGTACATGTAAAATAGCTGATGAGTCATCACCCTTCAAACCGCATTCGGGCAAGGTTGCTGCTACAAGAGACCAAGCCGAGTTGTCTATATAAGAAGAAAGAGAAACCAGGAATAAGGACACTCAATCAAACAAACAAATGCAAGCACAAACTCTGCTCAAAGCCAGATTTGCCTTCAAAACGAAGTTGTAGTCAGCCCAAGCCTTCATCCCTCTCGGGACAAGCCTTCATCCCTCGCGGGATAAACCTTCACTCAAACCCTTGTAATAGCTCTGCTACCTTGTTCAACCTTGCTGTAGTATCGATTCATCTTTTGTAAATCTCTATCTCTCTCTCTAAAGCTTTCAGACCCTTGATAAACTACAAAGATAGGAACCTGCAAGACGACCAGGCTTGCCCGACAAGGTTAAACCTTGCCCGACCTTCTTTGTTTTTGTCTTTTCATTCATTAGCCTAGCAATATGTTGTATACTTCCAGTTATATTCAAGTTATTTCTAGCAAGATGACTATTAAAAGGCTTTCTCAGTACTCGGATCCGATTTGAATATATCTTCATTGTTCAAACCAGATCCAAGTCCTAAGCCCTCGGGCATGTAAATCTGATTAGTTAAAAGTCCTTGGCCTCAAGGCATAAAAAAGAACCTTATGTGGACTTAACCCATCCACGACAATCCTTGATAAACGAGAAGTCCGAAGTTACTTGGGGCGCAAGTAATCGACCTACCTCTTAGTCTTATTTCTATTACATTATGATTATCATAGAACGCTTAAGCATGGAAAGGATTCTGATAGGAAGCCTCAAGGCCTACACCTAAGGCCCCACAAAGGCACCTATTTGGATTCATTCCGTTCTGCGGTCTAGAACGTTTGAGTATAAGAACGAACTCTAATGGGAAGCCTCAAGGCCTACATCTAAGGCCCTACAAAGGCACCTATTTGGGTTCATTCTACCTCTCGGACTCGGGTAATCAGAAGTATAATAGTTATAAGACTCATGCATTCACGAGAACACATTTTAATATAATATGTGTCACGATTATTTCGATGTATTAAATTCAACGAAGGCTCTCAAAACAACATAGTCCTTGGTAAAGTAAAAATATATATGATTAATCTTCCACCATGATTCTTGCTTTCTTTTTCAAACCACTTTCAGCGCTCTAAGTTGTTCGGCTTTATGCAAATCCGGTAGACCAACATTCGAACACGTCACCACCAACTTCTGCATTCGGGTGCCGTCGTTCACAACCGCATTCCGTACGCTCCCCCGCCTGCACCCGCCATCGACAAGCTCGCAGAGGATCAACTCCTCCCGCGGCCAAGTGTTATGCAGGCACACCATATCTCTCGTGCAGCTCATCGAAACCGTGCCCGTGGAGTCGGTCTCACCCTTCAGCTTCTCCACCATCACCGGCGGCATCTCCCCGATCAACTTTTTGCACTCAAGCGACACCCCGTTCACTTCCCACATTTTTACGGTTTTCAAATTCACCGCGATTCCGACAGCCTCCACTAAAATAAAGCGGCCATTAGCAAATCCCGTCACGACGCCGAACACCGTCGCGTCGGGACACAGATCGTACGGTCCACAACACGTCTTGGAATCTGGATCGAACGTGTAGGTTAAACTGGTGTTTTTATCTGTCACGTACATTTTGCTGTCGTCGACGGCAACAGAGAGCCACGTGGAGGCAGCGGAGTCCTTGAGGATAGCGGGCATTGAGTTGCACATTCCCATATGCTCTCCCTCGTGTCGGACGGCCAGGTGGTAGTCCTCGTAATCGCAGGTGCCGCCTGCGACGACTATGCGCACCGGCGGAGCCAGGATTTATTGTGAGAAGGAGCTCACACAAGTATAGAAAAAAAAAACAAATAGTGGTTACAAAATTACGAATGCAAAAACATGATAAAAATATCCAAATAATTAAGTAGTCAAAATTAACATATGAATACATAATTTTATCTATTTATAGTAATCATAATTATTCTCGATGAATTTCATATTTTAAAACCATTGCATGATGTCATCTATACTACTGAAATAATTATTAAAATCAATGGAGAGAATTACTAAAAAATTTGCAAACCCTAAAACTCAAGTAAGGTAGGATAGAATAGAAACAAATATTTTATAGAGAATAATAGAGTTTTACAAACCTTATTTGTTCTTTATTCAATAAGTTGAGATTTGGAATGAATAAATATATGAAATTCAAGAAGAATATGGGGAATAACTCTGCCAATGCACGAGTGAAAGACGATTTTATTAGTTAAAAGTGAATGATGGGTTTTAATTTAAAAGTTTTATTGATTTGTAATAAATGACCATTTGAAATATTATTCTTAATTCTAGGATAGGATTTGGATGAAAAGATAGATAAATAATTAGATAAGTGTTGAGAAGAGTTGCAAAGCATAGAAATAAGTGTAATACTAATCTTGCTTTTTCAAGTCAGGGTAGGCCTAGGACTACTCTAGTCCTCATGTGCCTCCGCCAGTGACTATGCGGTGGCCCACCAGCGCGACAATTGGGTCGCTACGCCAGACGAACAGGGCGTCCACGTGGTTCCACGTGTGGTGGAGGGGGTCATTTGAGAAGGCGAATTTGGAGGGAGACAGTCTGTAGAAGAGTGTGGAGTGGGAGGATTGGAGGGTGCATATGGAATTGATGGACGGCTGTGAGTGGATGTCGACCCAACCGTGCGAGGCAGGGTCGTAAGCACGTGCGGTGGTCTTGTAGGGAGATCTGGTGGTTTGGGCGAGGATAATGAGCCAGGGCTTGATGCTTCAGTTGAGGTGGCAGAGGGAGAAGGGGACGGCGCGATTCCAGGACTTGGACACGTGACAGGCAGGAACGAGGTGAAGGAGAGGCACGTGGTAAAGCATGGCCTCTAAGATGTCTTTGTGTTTAATGACACGTGGTGTACACATATCCCACAATTTGTTTAGTGACACACAGTGTACCATTCCGTGTACCGGTCACACTGAAAAATCTCTTGTGGGAAAGGGGCGGGATGTGTATATAGGGAATGCATAGTGGATGGAATTAATCCGATGAGTAATGTTATTCATACCATGTTTTTATACCACATTTCTATACTAGTTTAGGTGGCATCTGATGTGGACGACCACATCTTTGAAAAGTTTGCAAAACCCAAGAAAAGGAAAGAGAAAAACTCCTCGTATACCATAATCATCATTTAATTAACTAGTTTTTTTTAATTATTAGTTTATTAAATAATGAACTAAATTTAAAAATCTAATTAATTCAAATGATGTGGCTATCAACATCAAATGCCATCTAAGGAGGTATGAAAATATGGTACAAAAACATGGTATGAATAACATTACTCTAATCATATTTAATTAATTAAGGCTCTTTATCACAAATAGTTCCTGAAATTGAAGTGCCCCATCAAGATGGTCCTTGAAATTGAAAATTGATTAATGTAGTCCCTGAAATTGAGTGTTGCAAATTAATGTGTTCTTTATGTCACAATTTTGTTAAAAATTATGTTATGTGTTGATGTGGCAAATAATTGGGTCCCACAAGTTTAATTAAATACCATATAATTAAAAATAATTTTTCTTTTTAGATAATTAAAAACTAAATAAAAATAAAAATCTTCCTCCTCTTCCCTTCCACGACCTTCTGTCCCCTTCCCTATCGATCTCAACCTCCTGTCCGAAATTCAAGCATAAGCGTGAAAAATTGATCGAAAAACCAAGACGTGGTACAACTTCGTTAAAGGCATTTCAACTATTCAGATGGTGTGGTGCATCGTCAGAGTTGGTAGAAATCGGGAAAAACGGCAGCCCAAGAAAAGGCAGAATAATAGGAGGCAAAGGGCAATGAAGTAGAGTCTGGCATAGAAACAATGACACTTGGTGGTGGCGCTGTAGTGATATTGATAGAACTAAGATTTGGCTGTGTTGCCATGGAAGCACGCGAAGAGACCCTAACCTTTCTCTGTGAGAAAGAGGCTGGGATCGGTGAGGAGGAACGGGAAAGGGGAGGAAGAAGATGTTTCAATTTTTATTTTTTTTTAGTTTTTAATCCACATGACATTATTTAATGGAAAAGGATCTTCGCCGGATTCTTTTCCTGGGGATCATAGAGGTCCCGTGATCGTGATTGTGACCGTTCATCGTACATCGTGCAGTCAGTTTTCGTTAGGTACTATTTATATTTAATTTTAAATTTAATTTTGAAATGATTTATGATCGCACGATGTACGATGAACGATCACGATCATAGGATCCCTAGGATCCTCAGGAAAAAGATCCGAGGATGATCCTTTTTCTTATTTATTTATATTTGTAGGACCTAGTTATGTGTCACATTAGCACATAACTGAATTTTTAACAGAATTGTGGTGGAATGACCACATTAATTTGCGACACCTAATTTCAAGGACTACGTTGATTGATTTTCAATTTCAGGGATCATCTTGATAGATCAGGTGTGACAGCCCGTCCCGAATGCGTATATTATTTTATCCTCGATAGCGTGAAATGACCATTTCACCCTTGAGCGTTGGATTGTGTTTTGTATTAGTGGGCTAAAAAAAGTGACCAATTATTTTCTTTCCTAGCTAATTGAGCCCAATTAGAACTTAGGATTTTGTTTGTTTTTGGTTGGTGACCCAACTAGGACCACACACCTATGCATAACTCTCGTTGACTCCCTCTCTCTCCTCCCTCTCGGACCTCTTTCCATTTCCGTACAATTGTACGGACATATTTCAAACCAACCTTTGCAGGCACAGATAGAGACTGTGAAGGTGGTTTTCATGTTCCTTGCAAGCCCAGGAGTCGATTCATACCCTTAGTTGGTCGTGGGAGCTTGTAGAACTTGAATTTCCCGAACTCCGGTGAAGGGTGATTTTCCTCCGACGTGATCGCGAAGGTTTTAAGTGGTTTTGAGACCTAAGAAGGTATTATTCTTGCTTTTCTAGCACGTTAGATTGATTTTGGAGTGGTTTTGATGTGAGAACACTCGGGTTTATATAGTTGCAGGGTTTGGCCGGTTTCCTCGAGTTTTTTCGGCGAGATTCCGTTGTTTTTAGGTCCCCAAATTTGTAAGAATGTGTTCTACTCGTTGTAAGCTTCATTTTGGTAACAATTTCATCAAATTTGGTTGAGAAATGAAAGAGATATTAAAGTTCAAAGATTTTTCCAGTTTCTAGCGATACAGACGGCGACGACGACGGAATCCGGTGACTCACCGAAGAAGAAGGCGAATATTCCGTCAACTTTGACGGAATATTCTCTAACGGCATTAGGGAATCCGTTAGTGTGCCAGGCACGTGCCTGTGCGTGGGCGGCGCGTAGGACGTCGAAATGTTTTTCTAAAAATATGGGGATGTTCGTGGGGTTGAGTAGATCACGTTGGTATATTCAAACACCCCAATTGAGCAATGTATGAGAAGTTATTACCAAGTTTTGGTTATGTACTTTAAAATAATGTTTATATAGTTGTTTCGCATATAGGTGAGACCTATCCTGAGGACGAGCGCAGTCAAGCAAGGCTTGGGGGTTACAACCCTTCCACATATCAGTGAGTGGGCTTTTGGTTTTTAGTATATACTTATATACTTGGTATTTTTCCTAGAAAATGTGTTTAAATGAAATTATGTTTTGAAATGCCATGCCTATTGATTTATACTTAGTCTATGAAATTGTATGGTATATGCATATGTGATTCAACGCGGTGGATGCTTAGGTAAGTATCTGGTGAGTTGTAGATTGTTATTGTGAATTGATAATTCTGTGAGATGTGTTGAGAGCTCATAAACCTGCACCACGGTGTTAGTGCTCCCGCCCGTGGTTAGGGCACAGTCCCTCACGTGTTGGTCACCTCCTGCACCATACGCTCACCTTGGATCCAAGTTAAGTGCATAGTCCTGTCGTACAGACCACTATAGGTGGTTCCGACTAGTAGGTGACCCGCGATTATTCGCATAGTATTCACGTGATCGTAGCACTAGAGCATATTTATTTACACCCAGTCCTGTCGTACATACCACATTAGGTGGTTCGGACTCGTGTGCAGGCATACTTGTTGAGCTATAGATTCAGCAGTATAAGCCACTTTAGGTGGATCCGGTTGATATGTTATATTTCATGACCTCACTTACCTATTTTGTTACTTTGAGATATATGGCATGGTATACTATGATTTTCACTATTCTGAGCATAGTTTTGAGATATGTCTATATATTCTTTTTGGGGAAATTATACAGGTTTTACAGCGAGGGGTTAGAATTTTTGAGATATGTCTATATATTTATTTATTTTTTTATCAAGATCCTTTGACTTTTGTTGACACACCCTGACCTGGAAAGATTGAAGCATGCTGGCCATCACTGTGAGGTGACGTAACCATAAGGGTAAGTGATGCAAAAAGTGAATAAAATTAAAACTAATTAGAACTAAACAGTGAAAGAGTGCATAATTCGTGGGTTGAACCCACTATGATTATTTAGAGCGTAATAGACAATGAAACTACAGAAGAGTAGTCAAAACAACCAAAGTACACTTATTACATAATAGTGATAAATTCGTATGTCTAAAACAAAAGGAAATGTCAGAACTGCCGAGATCCCTCGAGTGCCACAAAGAGTACAACTATCTAGGTCCTGAAGGGGTGAAAAACAAAGTTGAGTGGGTCAGCAAAACAATGCTTATAAGAAAACCTTTAACTTTGAAAACACTAAGCCATGAATGGCCTGAAAA